CTCCTGACTCTGATGATGCGGCTGCTACTGACCCTGCTGCTACTGACGCTGCTGTCTAGTTTTAATCAAAAGCAAACATGTCTGTATAGTACAGAGGACCAGGAGGGGGCGCACTTACAAGTCACTGCTTCCCAATACCTCCAACAACATGTTTTGACCACAATCAACATCCAGTCTCCAAACACGGCTAAAGACGAGTCTGACGCTGACACCTCTTTGTGTACACGCTGCCAGATTCCGACTAATTCTGTAGTTTTGTTTGTTGGAATTCTGAGAGATGAAGGAAGTGGGACGGAAGGACGAAGGGCTAAATCCATTAAGTGGTCCCCTGGAGACTGAGTGAACCAGGCGTCCCTGCAGCAGAAGGCGACACGGCTCGTCTGTGGCTGGCGGCGGGCGCGTCAGTGTTTCCTCTCCAGTGCCTATCACGACAGCTCGTCAATATTAGCAAAGAGCAAAAGGCCAATCACTGACGGCTACGTGAGAATCTGCACACTTGAACACACTCGGACGGGAAGAGGCTGCGAGCGTCTCCTACAGCGTCCCTCCATTTTGGCCACGTATAGACACATACAGCACATTGACTGCTAATGTATCAGCCGCTGACACTGGCTCAGTGAGACCGGTGGCAGCCGCAGGCTTTACTGCCACAGCACAGGCTCCAGGACGCAGAGCTGACAGGGGAGACATCACACTGCAGCCTGTTGTTGTTGTTGTTGTCCCGACTACTGTCACTGTGACTCAGAGCCGAGCCTCTGTGTGGGTTTACCTCAACTGACTCCTGACGCCCCCGCTTCCGCCCCGGCTCCCCCTGCTCAGGTGGAATGGGAAACAATAATGAGGCAAACGTTGCCTCGGTGGATCTGAGACCGCGGCACAAAATGCTGCCTGGACTCAGTGAGCGACTGTAGACTTGAGGTGTGCTGTAAAGAAAACAGAGGGATGTATGTTCCTGTCATTATCCATCACTGAAGTCCTCCACTCTGCTGCCAGGCCTTTAAATAAAGCAGCGTGGGACGGAGAGAAGAGCAGGCAGTTCCAGAGGACGGCTTTGTTCCCACATGTAGGATTTCTTTTTTCTTTTCTTTTTTAAGGGGCCTTCAAATTATTGTCTCTTCCTTTGTTTTCTCCCCTTTGGTGAATAAAATATACATCACATGCACAGGATGTGCAGAGGTTATAAAACTGTACAAACATCATCTTTCACCTACACCTCGACATCGACAGCACAGTGACACACAACAACCGCAGCATCAACCAGATGTGTCCGCTCCAGCCGGACGGTTGAACCAATCAATCATCACAATCAGAGGTCTACATCGACCTGGACCCTGGTCTGAAGACAGAAGGTGAGTCAGTGACTTCACCACAGTCAGTCTGATACTTTACCACAGGACACACAGCTACAGACCACAGCTGTATTACTGTTATCATTTATGGACAGAAATGCTAACGGGCTACTGTAGCACTTCAGAAGAATCACTGCTGTTGACTCTTGTGTTTGTCGGTCATATGTTTACTGTATGTGGTTCACTTCCATAGGTGAGTCAGAGAGTCATGTGACGAACGACTTCCAACATTTTAAACATCAGGTTTCATTTCTGTAGTGAAGGGTGGAGCCAGGCAGCCAGCCCTCTGATGATTGGTCATCTGACTTTTTTAACAAACTTCCATATTTATATTGTCAATTATTGTTTCTACTTTGTGATGTATTAGTACACATTGTCATTAACCCTGTCTTACCTGAAGGAGGCAGCGCTCTTTGAAGACATAGCCGATGAGTTTGTCCAGGTGCATCAGACACTGGTGGTAGCGGATGTGATGGGTGAGGACGGGCAGCATCATGGCGTGCTGAGGACAAAGACACACAGCTGTGAGAGGAAAGGCTGATGTAAGAGAAAGTGTAAAGAAAAGGCAGTGGGCTGATGGAAGGATGAGAGGGGGGGTGAGAGAGGGAGGGAGGAGGGGAGGGAGGGGGGAGAATCAATCAAGCGGTCATTATTTATTAAGTGATTCTCAGCAACAGAGAGATGGAATCATCAAAACCCCAATCGCTGCTCCGTGAGAGGGGATGAGAGTGAGGAGGGACAATCCAGGCAAGACAGGAAGCAGAAATCAAAGTCCATCTGGACGTGTTGACACTGAGGTTTGGACAAACAGACACAGCAGACGGGTCTGACCCTCACACACCAGATGAAAAAGAGAGACGTGGGAGGATGAAAGAGAGAAAAAGTCTGACTCTACTCTAGCCTACTCTACGTCACAGATGGACAGAAAAGGCCGGGAGGTGGGCTGTAATAGCAATCAACCAGCAGGGGGCGACCCAATTGATTTTTTAGGAAGAACTTCAATTGAATGCAAATCAATAGAAACGTATGTGAGACAGGGTTTCAGATGAAAACGCCATCACACGTTTCTATAGATTATTCCAGTAGGGGGCGACTTCACTGGTGTGACAGTTCATACAAGGACAACTTCACGGGTAGTTTTTAAAGACAGTACCAGGAACTGTGTGTGTTCCCACTGAAGGAACTGGGAAGTGAATTCAAGCAGCAGGTTAGGTCGATAGAACATGAACTTTTACAGTAAAGCTCTTAACAAACGGGTTCCTGCCAGTTCCAAGAACTTCACCAAGAAGAAGTGTCACCAGGCGCCGACTTTCATACTGTTAATAAAGAAGACGTCGGAGCAGCTGTGGTTGGACTGTTCAAAGGTCTTTGTGACGTAAATTAGAAATTTTCCACCTCTTAATTACAGCAGGACCAACTTCACCAGGTCCCTGACAACACACACACACACACACACACACACACAGTCATCAGAGCAGGTCAGGAGCCGTGGACACGACCAGGGCTACACTTTGTTAATTGGCTGCTTAACAAGGCCTGGGGTGTATGTCACTGCGGCCTCCCGTGACGGCCCGTGGGGGGCGACGTGGCGACAGGGCTCGTAGTTGGCAGCCCCCCCTCCACTCTCCCCCCCACCCCCGGCAGCACTAATTAAAACAGGCACAGCTCCTTCTTCTGTGGTTAATGCATGTTCAGCAGCAGCTCCTCTGCTCTCATGGTTCTGGAGACACACACACACACACACACACACTGTTCACTCTTTACGTCTCATTTACACAGAGTCACATCAACTCCAGAGGTGGAGAACATAACAAACTGCACTTCAGTTCTTCTAGACTGGTGGGGGAGAGGTTGAAGGGGGGGGGTGGTGGTGAAGGACAAACTTTTCGTCCAATAACTAATCTCCTGACTTGTGACAGACGAGTCCAAACCATGAAGTTCTGAGGTGGAAAATAAAACTGCACCTTCTGAGGAAGATGATCTCTGACAGGGCTGGGGATTTAAACCAGCAACCCTCCGTGCAGTAGCCTCATCCAGTACTACTTCAATGAAGTTTTTTTTTTATTACACCTTAAATAAACAACAATCAATGTCGTGCGACATTTCAACAATCAAATCTACCAAGTTGCTGAGCATTGAAGGATCAACATCTTTTAGACTTTGTTCTGTTTGTATCAGAGTCTGACCTATGACCTGTTATTTAAAATATTACTGGATTATCTTTAAATAAAGAAAGTAGATGGATATGACTGGATTTTCTTTGGATGAAATAAATGAGTAAAAATTAAGTTCATTTTTCACTGTGTCCCACTGTGAGCAGACACCAAATGACCAACCGACCCTTCAAGGGGAACTGTGTTGCTGATTTGGACCTAAAGGTTCACAGGTAAAACCTCCAGTTTATTTCTGCTACATTTTTGTCTGAGTTAATTAACAGTGACTTTTCAAAGACACTTCTTCTTCCTCTGCTAACCTTCATCTCCACAAACACACAAACAAAGTCAAAGAGCGCCCCTACAGTCTGATGAAAGGATGAATCCTGGTCCGGCCTGGTTCTGGACCCGGACCCAGAGCAGAGCGACTGATCTCAGCTCAGTTCTGTGTCACATGTTGTGCAAAGTTTCCAGTGAAATTATTCATGAACCAATTAGTCGCAGCCGTTCAGCTTGAAGCAAATATAATTGGGCTGCAATTATGGACCAGTTCCTTCTTTACCAGAGCCTCACTGTAAGAGAGCACCAGGTTCTTACTGGACGACCAGGCCTGACTGTTCTGTCACTGCTGGGGGTGTGAGGGTGAGCCTCAGCTGGAGGGTGAAGGAGAGTGGGGTAAGGAGTGAGGGGGAGAACACACAAACACACAAACACAGTCGGAACCACAGACACAGAGGCTAATGCTAATGATTCTCCCAGTTTTTTTGCCAACATTCTGCCCAACTCTTAGCTAGTCCAGTCTTTATTTAGATTCAGTTTTTCATAATATATCTTCTATATCTAAATGAGGAAACTATTGTAAACACTGCATGTATTCTTAACTTTCTAAGCCATCAGCTCTAACTTTTTAAACTGTGTTTTTCTTAGTCTAGACACATAATTTAACAATTTCAACATATTCTATACAAGTTTAAATGTGTACATTTTATATATACAGTATATATATATAAAACTTTATTTATTTTATTTGTTTATTCCATATCCAGTGAGAGTTTCTACCAGTCTGGACTGGACCAGTGTAAACCTGCTCTGGTAGCCACTGGACTAAACCTTTCTTAAACTGTGTTCTTGAGCTGATGAAATCCCTCCAATTTCAGAGTAATGTCTGTGTCACAGAAGAACGTCAGTCATGTGCGACAAGAAAAAAAAAAAATCTGTCTGACTTAACGAGGTCAAGTACAATCAGGAAAACCTCGACAAGCAGCCGATCCAACGAGGCTAACGGCGCTCAGATAAAAACAACCACATGGTGGCAGGAGAGGCCATTCCGGCTGCTGCTGCTGTCCACATCCACTGACTGTGGCTGACGGAGCGGTGGCTCAGTGGCGTCGCTCCACATGTCCATATCGGTGGAGCCACTTCTGCCTCAACACCTTCCTCCACACGTGTGAAAACGGTAACAGCAGAGCGTTTGTATCTGAGGAGACGGTTTCTAAGCGTGCGAGCTTGTTGATGGCTTCACTTATCATCTAGATGAGACGCTTCGACAGAAAGAAGTGAGAGACAGCACCTGCACCGTCCCACACGTGCAGCCCACGTAGGCTGCTGACCCTCAGTGAAGGAGAGTGGGTCAAAGTTGGAGCAGTAAGTGGACTGTAGTCAGTGAAGGATGTTTACAGAAGCTCAGTCTAATAGTTTCACTGTCGGCACTTTCTCCTGATGGCGGCGACGTCGCCGTAATTACAGACAGGAAATGAGTCCGTGGACAGAATAAGTCTGTTAATCATGGGTTTGAATGAGTACAGTGGACAGACAGTAGCCTGACCAGCTCGGAGTCACTTTAGGACTTATTAGAATCATCTTTAATTTACAGGCTCTGAGCCTCTTCACTGTCTGGTTCCTGTTTGTTCACTGAGTCTCCAGCCTCACAGACAGAAACAGATCTGAGATCTGTCGTTTTATCAACACGTGCCTAACAAACCTAATTAATATATAACATATATATCAGGATATAGAAATATATTTCTATATGTATAGACAGACAAATGTATACACATATACACAAATATGAATAAACGTATATAAATATTCATTTTAGGGGTGTGTATTGGCAAAACCATACTATTCTACATATACTGATACAGGGGCAACTATATGATTTACTGTAATATACTGGAACACTACAGGTCCAACAATATATTGATTTCCCCCCCCCCATCTTAACCTCAGTTTACTGGAGTGTTTCTCTACATGTGTGTGGACGGTGTCACAGTGTGTACCTGACAGACGTCGGAGCGGATGCCAGTCTTCCAGAAGCCTTGGCTGCTCAGCTCCACTGTCACCTCACGGCGCATCGTGTTCTTCTGCCGGATCTTCTGAAGAGCTTCCTGCCAAAACAACAAGCAGCCGTCAATTATTGATCGTCCGGGGCTTCGTGGCCCACAGGGACAGCCGGCAACAAAAGCCTCCACCGCCGCCCCTGCTGCACCACCCCACCTTTACTCTCCTTGTGTTTTTTTTTTTTATTTTTATTTTTTCTCACATGGTGCTGGCACATGCAATAAAGTGAAACCTGGCTCAGGCCTGACAGGCACACAGAGCTGCAGTGGACACAAGCGGAGGAGGTGACAGCAGTGGTGCTGCTGCCTAATTGAGGCGCTGCCATGGGTCAACATGGCTGTGGGCAGTGTGGGAGGAGGAGGAGGAGGAGGAGGTGGAGGAGGTCACGAGGACCTGAGCACCAAGGTAGATGACTGGCCCATTAACACACAAGAGCCTGGAGGAATAACGTGTGCACACACACACACTCTCTCTCTCTCATATACACACACACACACACGCAGCATCAGCCCAGCCCTACAGCTAATATCTGAGGAGTCACTGGTGCAGCCTGAGACAGGAGGCTGCTAACAGACAAGAGAGACTGACAGACTGACTGTTGGTGGAGGTTCCTTCAGCTCAGACTCAATCTGCCTGAAAGGAACGTCAGCGGGAGACGCGCTGCACTTGCACTGAGAAAATAAGAACAACAAAGGCATGAATAAATAATGGCAGCCCACTTTGAACCCTACATCAAAGGGAACAAGGCTCGCCCACACTGCGCTGCGTGTGCACATCAACGCCAATCGTTCCTCCGTGTGCCAGGCCAGCGCTGCACGTGAAAGGCAGCAGTCGGACTACAGTACGACAGTGTGTCGGAGTAGTCCTAGTTCTCAGGACAGTTCCACTGGTACAAAGGCACAATGTTCCTTGTACCGTCCCATGGTTCCTCTGCTTCGCCATCTAAAGAAAACCAAGTGCTATCTGTGATTTTGTTTTCATCTTTTTTTTTTTCTTTGGAGAAAGTTTCCCACACATTGTTTGTGAAACCAAACAAAAGAAATCTTCCATGAAGACCAAGGTTCACAAACCAAAGTCTGGAGATCAGACCGACGTCCACTGTCACGGTGACAAAGAAAGCCCTAAGAACACACAGCACGCAGAGAGAGAGAGAGCGAAAGAGAGCGAGAGCTGTTTGTTCATGGATGAACGGAGCTGTCCTTGGTACCAGTGGTGAGGAACTTGAAGACGTTTCCTTGCACTGAGTCCAGTCCTGTGAGATTCACAGTGAAGCTGAGAACAACACCTGGTGTGAGGCCTCTCCTGGTACCGATCTGACCCTCTCCTGGTACCGATCTGCCCCCCTCCTCTCCTGGTGACGGTACTTACCTGAAACCCGGTCTGAGCAGAATCGTCTTCAGCTTTAAATCAGCTTTAATTAAGAGACCGTAACATGAAGAGACGTGGATGTAAACACCACCGTTACTCTCAGAGGTTCAACCTTCGTCAGACCATTAGACCTGCTGGTTCCAGCAGCAGGATCTCAGTGATCCACAGACTTATATTTATTTTAATTTGCTCAGTAGATAATGTTTATTAACAGAGTGGAGCTGCAGTTAACGTCCTGAACCTCTCAGCAGCTCCAGTGGAGCTGGTGACCTCCAGAAACCTCTCTTCTGCTTTTACTCCATGATCCTCCCACATGTTTTGACACTTAATGGTCCTTAAGAGATTTAGAATGTGTTTGGTAGAGTTATTAATGGGTGGGGGCTCTTTAGAAAGTCCTTATAAAGAAGGTGGATGAGGACAAACAACCGACAAAACAGAATCCACTGTTACATTTTTAAAGCAGCTCTGGTTCATTTTTCTGGTCTCACCTCTCTTTGTGTTAGCTTCTGCTTGTCAATCTGCTTCACCTTGGGGCTGTTGGCCAGCAGGTGGCGCAGCTTCACATAGCTCTTCCACAGCTTCTGGTACCTGCCAGGAATAAATGAGCAGATGTGAGGTGATGTGAAGCTGACAGCAGTCCATCTTCTCTCAGCCTCCCTGTGTGCAGCAACGCATCAATATTTCATCTACGGCTTTGCTGATATTAAAACATAATTTAACAGTTGCCTGCGGCCGTTATTGCATTAGAGGCTTTGTGTGTGCGTGTGTGTGTGAGTGTGGGTGCAGAACTGAAGATGCTCTGGGTTTCAGATAGTTCAGGTTCAACTGCTGAGAGCTGCTGTAGGTCCAGAAATATTTGATGAAACATTTCCCACGTCAGACCTTCCTCCTTTTACAAAAGGAAAGATAAAACGTTATTTTCTCTGCTGTTGTTTACATCCACAGAGAAGATGAAGTTATTTTTTCTTTGACCACAGTTAGCCTGGTGTCTACACACTGATTAAATGACTCAGTTACCAGAGTCATTTCTACCACAGTCTTGTTGTCACTGCAGGTGAAGAACATGTTTAAGATCAGAGTTCTTCACGTCACTTTATGACTCTGAAAAGTTCCTGGTCCTCTGACTGTCCTCACTGCTTTACTATGGCACTCCCTGAGTTCAGCACCATGGACAGAGTTCACCCTCCTCACTGTCAAACGGATGGATTTCCCCACATTCATCCAGAGTTATTGAATCATTATTGAAGGGACCGCTGGGGAGGGGGTGGGGGGTGGAGCTGTGACAGAGAGACAAAGGAAGAATAAGAGAGAAGAAAGTGAAGAATAAAGAGATGATGGAGGAGGAGGAGGAGGAGGAGGAGGTGGTTAGGGAGCAGAAGAATTACAGAGCTCTAATATCAGGGACTTCATTAGACAGTGAACTGAGGGACTGGGACGGCTTTACTGCCCTGATTATCAGCTCAGCTCCACCGACACCGACTACTCTGAACTGAACAGAGGGGGTGTCCACTGACACCCTGGGAGGTCCCTCCACCCTGATCTGCTCCAAATGACCTTTCCACAGATCCTCCATGTTCCCTCCAGAGAGAGCTGCCACAGCTTTGCACCACTCCTCAACATGCTTCATTAACATGTGCTGCTGCCGTCGCTCCTGCCCCATCCCCGCCCCCCCACTCTCCTGCCCTTTTCAGACACACACACCCTGCTCACACCACCACTGGCTTCATCTTTCTGCTAAAGTCAGAGTTTTTAAACCATGAGCAGCGACCAAACACCGGGTGATCGCTGTGTTCAGAGGTGACAGGAACAGTGAGGGTGTCAGGGAACAGGTGCTGGGATTTGGGGGGGGGGGGGGGGGGGTTCATTCTGGACAGTGAATTTAGAGGACACAGTCTGCCTATGGACCCATGATATTTAGTAAATGTTTTAAATTTCATCAGACTGTAAACAGCAGTTTCTGTTCAACTGCCACCAATGACAAAAGGTTTAAACTTATTTTGTTCATGATTTTTTTAAACTATTTCCAGATTTGGCTCAGTAACCCATGTTGGCCACAGGAGGCAGCAGTGTGGACACAAAACCCTGAGGCAGTAAAGAACAACTTCACAGATTTTAAGGTGACTTTGTTCCTCAGACCTGGACTCACATCTGTCCTGGACTCTGATGTTTGACCCTGACCCTGACCCTGACCCTGACTCCTGTCGTCTTGTCCCAGAGCACTTTCAGTCACAGCAGGTCTCTGCGTCTGATTGGCTGCCGGTGTAAGTTATGCAGCAGCACACAACAGTGTCCCCCAATGCAGCCTTTACATCCAAGTGTGTGTGCGGTAAGACTATTCACATAGAGCAGCAGCAGCAGCAGGTCCCAGAGCACAGGAGCCCAAAGGAATTCTGGGACCCGTGATGATGCATGTGAAAATGTCATGCTGCTCATTTTCCCTTCTCTGTCTGTCCTTCCAGCTCTATCTCTGCATCCTTCCCTCCTCCCGACGCTCACTGTTCTCGTCCTGCACGTAAAACACTGTCATCTCCATGTCCTCAGAGACACGAATGAGGAGACGACCAGCGAGAGGAGGAGGTGGCGAACAGCAGGGAAAGAAAAAGCAGGAAGACGAGGCTGGGTCTGGACAGATGATGGACATTTCTGACATTTATATGAGTGTGAGGGTCCCAGAGTGTTGGTGTTAGCGCTGCAGCTAACAGTCAATCATTAATCAACACATCCACAATCTCATTGATTATTTATAAATGTAAAAGGTAACGGCTGCTCTGTTGCTCCTACTGTAATTAATCGTTTATTATTTAATAATTCACAAAAGATTTGTGATGAATATCTCGTAGAATATTTTAAAAAAACATTTATGATATCTATTTGAATAGTATCATGTGATTTTGCCAACATTATTTTAGAATTTATTGATGAAAAAAAATCAATAACATATTTTTTTCAAAATATATATATATATTTTTTAAATAAATTACTATTTTACGTGTTAGCCTGTGTACGAGTGTGTGAACGTGTGTGTGAATCTGTGTGTTCTCACTGAGGGTCTCCAGCGTAGCTGAGCTGAGCAGGTCTGATTCCAAAGTGGACGATGATGGGGAAGGTGATGACCTCAGGGTTGAACTGCTCTCTGTCCAGCTGATCAATCCTCACTGAGCTGGGTTTCTGGAGCAGAAAGGGACGGAAAAAAAATGTCTTCATCATCTTCATCATCATCATCATTGTCCTCCTTACCTCCTCCTCCTCCAGCAGTGATACATTTTAGGACACAGACCTAATACAACACCTCAGCAGCGCCCCCTGCCTCCACCCCACCACACACACACACATTAACCACATCCCTCTGTTCACTCCACTCAGCTGCAGCTGTTTTGACTGAATTTCAGGATAATTTTAAGTGCTTTAATCATTTTTTGGCAGCAGTTTCAGCTGGTTTTAAAAAGGTTTTTGGCTAAATAAATAAAGGATTTACTCCTCCGTTCACCTGCAGACTCCTGTGACCAAATATGATTTTAAAACTTCTTTTCTCCGTTGACTTTGGTTTTAAAAATGTGACAGTGTAATATATTTTTTAACTGTTTGACTTGTGACAGTGTAATATATTTTTTAACTGGGACTTTGGTCAAGGACAAGGAGCAGAGACCTAATACTCTATACAACTCTACAACATAGTCTTTCATTTTAGATATGAAAGAAATTTAATAATAAACAGGTTCATATAGTCTTGTTATGTGAATGTCCTGCAGGGGGCAGCAGAAGGACAGCTTGTCATGATATGGTGAAGGTCTCACCATGCCAGGGTTGGTGACGATCATGCCCTTGCACTCCTCGGCGTATTTCTGCCACCCCAGCTCCTCCCACTGCAGCATGTCTGCCAGCTCCTCCTCAGGAACCAGAGGTTTGCTGCTGCGCTGCAGGTAAAGCAGCACCTGGTGCATCGACAAGACCTCCTTACCGCCATCTGAAGGACACGTACAAAACTGTTGTTCATGGCGTGGAAGGAATTTGTTAAAAAAAAAAAGGACAAAATTCAAATCACATGTCAATCAAATAAATGTGTTTTTCCAATCGATTGTGGTTTTTAGCCCCGTGGCTGAAAGCTGTCCCAGGTGTGGCCACCACCGTAAACCAGGACTTGTGGTCACTCTGTGAACTGCAGCGTGATCAAACCAAAAAAACAAGTAAAAAAAACAAAAACATCAATTCTAAACTGTAGCCAACCGACGTCGTTGATCCGTTTCTTCCACCATCAAGACGTTCAAATATGTATAGGACAGAAACCTCTAGAGATGAAGCTGCTGCTGAATGAGACAAATGAAAACTTTAACTCTAAAATGGACTGATATGTCCAGAGGTGTTTGTCTACTTTGACATGAGCAGATCTGAAAGAATCAGCAGTTCAGGGTTCAAATGATCTTTACAGCCACGTTTTTCCCAGAGAGTTTCCCTCCTTCTCTCAGTCCGACACCGTTCAAACCGTTCACACCTCGGAGCGGCAGCAGCTCCAACATTATTAGAAACCCACGCAGAAATAAAAGGCACAAACAACTGTGAGTCCAGGTGTGCTCCGGTTCCAACATCCTGGTCCTGTGGAACTGTTCGCTTCAGTCGGTGTCTTCAAACAGGAACCCTGAAGAACCCACACAGTTTTCTATCTTTGTGGATCACAAATCCATCATTCTGGATGTGAGTGGGTGAGGAAGGTCAGGGGTCGCGCCAATACGCAAAGACAAAGAGCAACACACTAATGGAATAATAGGGAGGTCAGAGAGGAAGGAGGGGGGGCTTAAACACACACACACACACACACACACACACAGCGGTCAAACAGCTATATAGACACTCATGTAAAATTGATTGACCTCCATTTATAAAATGTTCATATGAAGCCAAGTGCTGAGCTCTGAGAGCTGGGAAGGCATTAAAAAAACAATAAGAAACACACACACACACACACTGTGTGTGTGTGTATTATATATTTCACATACATATCAGACATTTTTATATATTTTTCCATTATATTTTTTCTTATAATATATTAATATTTTCCTTTTTTTATTCCTCTGTTTTATAAGACAAACATCTGAATATCAGAGAGAAAAGTCCGACTGAATTATTTTGTGAGGCTGAAGACTCCAATGTTGGGGTCAAGTCTTTTCAATTTGGAGTTGTGAAAAGAAAGAAGATCTTCAGGACCAAGGTCTGGAGAAACTTTAGATTGGTACAGTCTGAAGGACCAGGTCCAAAAACTGACCAGAGATTTGTTTTCACTCGACACAATCTTCAGACTAAAAGTGATACAATGATTGGAAAATAAAAAACAGCCGTCATCACGCTGATCCTGACACACGAGCAGGCCCAGGATCAGCTAAGAGCTCCTCTCAGAGTCCGTCCTCCCTGTCTGATAGAAAGTCGTCCTCCTTTGTCCCCGTCTCTCTGAGACCGTGGACGTCTCTCCGTGCTCAAAGACACAGATACATGTTTGATAGAAATTGTTTCCTGACGCGGACAATGAGAAGACTGTGAAACCAGCACGGGCTGAGTTGGGATTATTGTGGAGCTTCAGCGCCATCATGTGCCCCAGAGAAGAACTACACCACCCTGCTGCACCAAGCCCAGAGTCAGAGACTCAGGACGAACACAAGAGGGACAAAAACCAAAGACGTTTGACCTGTTGTCTCTGCTGCAGAGCTACAGACGACAGATCAGCTCATGAAGTGACACAACAACAACAACATTTTTATACTGCATGATAAAAGAAGCTGTGACTCAACAACTCTTTTTGTGCCATGATGTTAAAAAAATGTCTCATTTTCTCCCTGGACTTTGGTGCAGTGGACACATCCAGTCATCAGTCTTTGAATGGGTTTTGAAGAATTAATTAATATTTGGTGTTAGAGGAATTTATGAGGAAGGTTTAAAGTGATGTGACACCTCATTACCATAGAGACGAGGAGTGAAAACCTGACCCACTGCTGCCACCTGTGGTCAGTTTGTGCAGCCAAAGCAAATTTCACTCCAAAGATATCAGGCACTAAAATATACACAGTATATTTAATATATATATATATATATATTACAGTTTGTCAAGTTTGTCATCTTTCCTCTGGTTTGTCAGCTGTGTTGTCTTAAATGTCGTTAGAGAAACCACCGCTGCCGGTCGAACCAACAAATACTCTTAAGTGAAGGAAGACTCACCGGGTAGAAAACGCACGAAACGTGGCATGAAATGGAAACGCTGACACCCAGAGGTCTCCGTGTCACCCTCAGGACCTGCATGAAAGGAGAGACATTTTTGGACGTAGCCGTTTATAACATCAAACAAAGTTTGTTTTCATACAGTTATATTTAACTGGAATCCCTTTAATCACTCTACACTCACGGCTCCCACTCCAAAAATGTGTTTATACACGTGAGAGTGGCAAGAACAAACAATCTGTTTTAATTAGTAACACACACAATGAGAGAATGTGTGTGTGTGTGTGTGTATGTGTGAGCTGATGGTTTGAATATCTTCAGTGCAGCCTGGGACGTTGAATGGCTGTGAATCCCCACAGAGAGACTTCAAACAGAGTCATTAAATCCAGTCCTTCACTAACTTTTCCTGCAGCAGAGTACATATTTAATGGCTGTGCTGAGTGAGCAGAGATTTATTGTGTCTTATTAGCTTAAGTGTTTGTCTGCACTGGACTGGGATGAGGAGCAGCTGTGAGTTACTGCAGAAAAAGAGGCCATTTCAAAAAGGTATACACGCTTTTTGCTGCCATTATACAAATTAAAAGCGAGAACTGCAGCCATTTAGGAAATATATGTTTAATAAAATAATGTCCACGGGTCAGGATTCATCAAACTTTCCAATTAAAAACTGAGTCAACAGTAAACCACGGGCTCCTTCCCACATTTCTACTTAACCTGTCATCACGCAGCAGCAGCAGCAGCAGCAGCAGCAGCAGCAGCAGCGTTGCTGTTCATTCAGCACAAATACAACTAACATAATGTTAGATCCGCCCAAATACGTGCGTTTGGTTCAACTCCGAGCTGGCTTTTTCTGAAGACAGCAAAGATATGTTAGATCCGCCCAAATACGTGCATTTGGTTCAACTCCAAGCTGGCTTTTTCTGAAGACAGCAAAGACACCGCCGCCCCCCGTTGTTTTGTTGTGTCCCTCTTACGAACCACAAACACTGAGTGAAGCTCTCATACACTGCACACGTGTCTGGTGTTCTACCTGTGAGGTTCCAGTCGTAAAGCTCCAGAATGTCCTGGAACAAGTAGGAGGCAAAGAGCTCCAGGCCTTGGACACAGAAGTTCTGCAGAGAGACAGGGAGAGAGACAGGGACAGAGACAGAGTTGAGGACAGACTTCTTTGTCCCACTATGGTGGAAATTCACAGTGTAAATAATTGCAACCCTACACGGGGCTGCCACAGGAGGCGCCGTTACGTATGTGTTTCCTCTGGGACCAGAGGTGAGAGTTAGAAGCTCAGTGACAGAGTTGACCAATGACAGTTGATTTAATCCACTGCTCTGACTTGATCACATAAACCTAGTCACTGATGACATCAGCCTCAGCAGCTCTGAATCAAACACACACACACACACCTTCTTTTCCAACTCCTAAAAAGGATTAGCAGCTGATCTGACCAGCAGGAGGCGAGCTGTGCGGCTCAGACTGTGGCAGAGCAGCAGATAACAGAGGGAGTTTAAATAAAGAGGAAGAACAAAGAGGGAGGACAGAGGGAGACGGAGCAGATAAAGACAGACGGGGACTGACCTCTGGCGTCATCTCCTGGATGAAGTGGATGGTGTAATCTATGTTGAAGCGGATCACTCGGCACAATGGAATCTGAGAGGGTGGGGGGGAGAGAGACAAAGACAGAGAGACAAATAAAGAAGTGTCTTTGCGAGGACGCTGGCCTCCAGGTGGAGGTTACACACTTTTGAAAGGACTCATTAAACCTCGGCTGCTCCGAGGAATCCCTGATATCAGGCACATTTAAAGGTAAAGTTCTGGTACTGACACGCTCTCAACAGAGACGGGAGTTTATTCCCAGATGTGAAATCACCGACTACAAACAGAGACTGGGATCTAACGCTTTCATCTGTCCCACAGTGAACAGATGTTGTGGACTCGTGACCTGATGCTGAGACTAAACTCCTGAACTATCCCTTTAAGAACAAAGCCATGAGCTCACACTGAAACACACACAGAGAGAGAGCACCTGAGTGGAGATGGAGTCAGTGTGATGTGAGTGAACAGATGAGCCCACTCCTCACTCTTTAATCTCCTCTCGTTACACACTCTTTGTTGTCTCAGCGCACCAGTCCATTTTCAGGGATTAACCTGGGAGTCACATTCCTTGTTGCCCAACCGGGCGACTAACTAGCAGGGGGGGCTAATATCTCCATACACCGAAGCTCTTAATCCCCCAGCCGCTGCTGAGCGTTTACCCCCGGCTCTTAACAAGGGCTGTTTAAATTATCCAGTTCAAATCATTGCTAATCCTCCAGGCTGTGTTCAGACTGAAAATGGACTGACTGGTTTATTATTCACACATACACACACACACACCGGATGAACGTGTGTGTGTGTGTGTGTAGGACACTGGACAGATTTCTAAAAAAATAAATAAATAAGGTTTTAGTCGATTTCTCATTTCCTTTGAACTTCATTCTTGGAAGAAGAAAAAAAAAAGATCAGAAAAAAAGTCTGAAAAAATCCCTGTCCACAGTCAGAGTCCGGGTCCTTTTAAGACGCCACGTTCCCTCAGAGAGGAGTGGGCAACAAGGTCAGCACAGCAGGGGAGCAGCAACAAAGAGTTGGACTGAAGGCCAAGAGGGGGGAGGTGGGTGGGGGGGGGGTGAAGAGAGGAGAGGACATCTGAGGTCATCTGAGAAAAGGAGAGGAGAGGAGCTCCTCTTTCTGTCTGACTGGACCATCAGTAGAAGAAGACATGGACCTGATGTTGTCTCCATGTTTGGAGATGAAGACTATCATCATCATCATCATCATCATCATCATATCTGATTCACTGCTGTACAAACATTATTGTAGTTCCTTCAGCTTCCTGTGAGGGCTCTCCAGCCTGTGATTGGTCCACAGTCTCCCTGAGACCCTGGGAACTGTTATCAGTAGAAGAAGGAAAATCAGAGACTTACGTTTGTCAGAGGAGTGTGTGAGAACAGAGAGAAGCCTTCGAACAGGTACTCATGGTCATCGTACTCAATCACTGTGGGTCTGTCCGTCTGAGGACACACACAAACACACACACACATACACACACGTTAGATCAGAGTACAGTTAAACGACAATCATCATCAAATGATATTTGAATGAATGAATGAAAATGTTACTAGAACGCTCACTCTTACAGCAGGAAGAACTTTCGCAGAACGGATTAAAAAAAAGGTTTAACATTTTATTTTATATTGTGCACTGTTGGAAAGTGCTAAATAGATATTTTCATAATTTTGTAATTGTTGTATTCTTTGAAACATTAATATTAATTTATGCAAAATCCTTGATTTTATTGAGGTTTAATACAAAGTTATAGCCACAAATGAAATGGTTTTAATAACTGGCATAATATGGTTTTTTTGGTGCTTCATATTAGTTATACGTCTAAGTTCTAGTTATTTAATTTGAAGCAAACTCTGTTGCTGCTTTTTTTTTGGTGCGTCATAGTTCTAGTTAGTTTAATTTGAAGCAAACTCTGTTGCTGCTCAGGTCAAAGGTCACTGACTAACACCAACAAAGTCTCTGAGTGTCATCTCCTACCAGGAAGTTGGTGGGCGGAGACACCGTGATCCTGTAGTGGAAGAGTTTCCCTGCGTTGTTGTTCATGGGACGACACTGTTTGACAGACTGGAAGAGACGGTGTCACAGTGAGAGTCTGTGTGTGCCTGACACAACATGAAGGTCACAAAGGTCAGGAGTGGACCCTACCTCCTCTCCTGGGTAGATGCTGTGACGGATCCCCGTACGCCTGGCTTTGGCGCTGCATTTACACAACGGCCCATCGTTCATCTGGACACAGAGGACACGGGTGGAATCACATGACTGTCACACAGCGGCGGTGACATCACACTTTCCTTTGGTCGTAGTGAGTGGATTTTATTTATTTATTTTTTTATACATTGTGTCAAATTCTATTTGAAGGAGGAGTCGCAGCATCACAGCAGGGATGTGCTCCCACATCAGACCCACCTGCCCGGGGTCGTTGTACCACAGCTCCTCGTGAAGCCTGTCAGGATGAGCCTTTTTCCTCTTGATCTCTGCGATGACGTCGAATACCTCGGAGTCTGAGCTGCTGGAGCAGGAACTCCGTTCACCGTCCGACTCGCACTCTGAGTCACTGCTGCTGCCGTCTGCAAAACAAAGAGCGAGCGATAGCTCCTTCATCAACAGAAGAAGCACAGGAGGAAAATATAACTCAGTGGGCTGCAGACGGATGAGTGTTTAAACTGCAGCGGAACAGAATTAGAGCTGGACTGAAGAAGAATCTGTCTGAGTGTGAACACATCCTGTGTGAGCTGAGGCGGCGGTGCAGCTAATCCATCAGCTCCTGCTGAGGCAGCAAACGCCACATCTGCACCATGAGACTGAGGTGAAGGTATTTAATAAACTCTGTCAGTTTGTTTGTTGATGTGAACACTCGGCGTTTTCCTTTTCCACCACATCAACAGTTTCACAGACGTAACCCCCAGACTGTGTCTGTGGTCTGTAGTCTTTCTGACCCGTCTGTGGAAGGATCCAGACCATCAGCAGACCTCACCTTGATCCTCGTCCAGTTTGGTTTTGGGAGGCTCCCACTTGGGTCGAGCTTCCTTGGCTCTCTCCTGCCTCCTCCCCAGCTCTTCCTGGAAGCGCTGGTACAGGTCCCTCAGTTTACTGGTGCCGACCACCGTGGAGTCTCCCTGGAACACAGACCAGTGGAGTGTGACTCCAACAGCCACACACACCCAACAATTCTACAGGAAAGGACCAGACAACAGTACCACTTGGTCCATGGGGTCGTTGGAGTAGAAGTTCTCGGCGTGCGTGCAGCGGATCCAGGCAGGTTTCAGCAGCTCCTCTTCCTCTTTCTCCTCGTCCATCTTCTCCTTTTCCCTCTCTCGTTCCCTCTCCCTGTCTCTGTCACTGAAGGCGTCGTCAGACTCTCGGCTCCTGAAGGAAGAACAGCTTCGCTCCCGGCTAAGGCCTGAAGATCCCTCTGACCTCCTCTCCCTCTCCTCTTCCCAGCGTCCACGTTTCCTGTCTCTGCTCATAGAGCGACTGCAGAAGAAAAACAATGACAATGACTAAAAAAGTATGAATACATTTGCCCAGAACCTAGAAATGACAGGGATGTGGAAGCTTAGAGGCAGCATTACTATTTTAGTACAAGACCTGTAACTGGAGTGGAGCCAGAAACAACACAACTTTAAAAAACCTGAGGAAACTCAGAACCTAATGAGGTTTCTCTGCTGTGACATGGACCGAGAGTTAAACCCTGAACCCTGAATCAGTCAAAAGTCTTTAGACTCAACACTCATTAACCCTAGGACTTGACTCAGACTCTGTGGTCAGTGGAATCAAAGTAATCAAAGCTGAAATGTAGCCAGAGGTAGAGGATGTAGATTAACACACAACAGCTGTGCCAATGTGAAGGGAATAGAACCATGAACCTGCGAGCTCTCTTTCGATGTCTGTCGGGAGACTGGGACTTTCGACTTTCTCTGCGGCGATGTCTCTCTCTGAGAAAACAGGCACACAGAGGTGAAAACATATTTAATTTACAGGTGATGAGGAGAACCTCCCTCCTGTGTCAAAGCTGTGGCGCCAGAGGTTCAAAAATGGACATTCAATCAAACAGACTTAAATTAACAGTGACCAGTTCCTCTTTATGGTCTTTGGTTGACTGTCTACCTGCTGCGTTCCCTGCTCCTGTGTCTAGGGGGCGTCCTCCCTCTGTCATACTCAGACTTGAACCTTCCCCCCTCCGGTCTGGGCCGTCTGTCTGGACTCCAGCCCCGCTCCTTCCTGTCGGTGGGAAACTCCATTTGGTGCCGGTCGTAGGGGTAGCTCTTTTGTTGGTGGTCGTCATGGCGATAGCTCCTCTCCGGGGTCCTCCTGCTGTCACTCGGTTTGTCGTACTTGTACTGCGCCCCCTGCCTGAAGCTGTGGTCAGGTTTGAAGGAATTTGGGTTTGGATTGTACCCTGGGTTAAAGGTGGGAGGAGGAGGGAAAGGAGGGTGTGGGTAGTTCATGGTGCAGGGAAGAGGGGGGTAGTTCATAGACTGAGAGGCCATCGGGTGAGACATCGGTGGGTGGGGTAACGGAGGTGGAGGGACGGGAGGCATCATGTACGGAGGGTAACTGTTCTGAGCAGATAGCTGCGACCTTGATGCTACACCCCCGGTGGAACTAGGCATGGGAGGAGGAGGAGGAGCGGAAGGGGGAGGGAAATTGGGCGGAGGTTCAAGGAACCCATGTCGAAGAGAAGGTTTAGGAAAAGGCGGACGAACTGGACACTGGTTTAAAGAGGGTGGAGGTTGTGACAGTGATAGAGGAGGGTACTGCGTGAAGTCACAAGGTGGAGGCATGTAGCTGTTGTTTGGGTGGTAGCCTGAGCTGGGAGGAGCCTGTGGATCGTAGTGGTACTGCGGTACAGGGGAGTGAGAAAGTGGCGGCCTGATATTGGGGGGTCGATAACCTGGAGGCGAGCCGTGCTGACCTGGAGTCTTTCCACCACCTTCTCCTCCGCGTCCTCCACAATCCTGGTGGTAGGACATGTCTGAGGACTTGAAAGAGAAGATTCAGAAATGTTTACTCTAGAGGAAAGACTGAGAGCAACAACACTAACAAACATAAACACATAGATAAAATAAGTATCATGGTAACAAGAGATGTTAGGAGTGAAATATTGAAGCTCATGAGAAAAACTGATTGAATTAATAAAACACAAAGTTTTATTTACTTTTGCACAGTTACAGTTACAGTTAAAGCCCTGCAAAAAATGATAGAATTTTGCACAACTTAGTTTACGTGGCATTAGTTAAGGTTATCTACCGCTACTAGTTACCTACCAAAAACAAATGTTTTTAAATGGACAGACACGTCCCCCACAAAACTGTGGTAAACAGAAATCCAAACGTAACGTAGTTTTCAAAATTCTTGTTAGTTCGACTTCCAGGAGTTACATTAACGTTTTTAAATCGGTGCCCTGAAAACCCTTATAACGTTAGTTTTACGTATTATGACGTAGTCACATTCACAAACTTGTAATGATTTAGAATTTGGTTGTAAAGTAAAGCATAGTGGTGTATGTTGTTAGTGAGAGCTAACACTGAACACTGTTCATTAATACGGAGCTAAAACACTGTGTATTAGCTGGATGGCTAAAGCAGGTATCAGCAACATCGTACATTTTACATGAAACCGACGTGAAAATTAAAATAGACAACGGTGCAACATAATACACCTAATAATCAACTTCACTATAATCATTCTCAGACAGGAGCAGTTTAATTTTAAGATGTTTTTAATACCTCGACCGTCGACGGAGGTTTGACTGCTCGAGCTAACCGGCTAGGCTAGTCGGCAGGCTACACGGCGATAAAAACAATGACTAAAACCATTAAATGAAGACGACGTCACATAAAAACACATACTTACTTTACTGTACAGTAATGTCTTATGAATTCGTGTTTACAACATGAAACGTTTCCAAGTTTTTAAACAAACATCGAGCTCATGTACTGTTTATCACGTTTGGCGTGTTTAGTATTTCTACCCGGAGTGTTTTCAGAGATGGATATTCAACGTGACCAATCACATTCGAGCTCTCAGCTCACAAGCCAATCACAAGAGTCGGGTTGCTTTTACTGTTGCACAACGTCATAAAACCAAACTCCAAAAGTTGTTTTAATATCATCGTCAAAAACATGAACGTGAACAAATGAAATATAACTAAAAAATAAAAAATAGCATCTAGTGTTTAAAATCTGATTGTTCTGAGTATTTTTAAAGACGCGTTTTATTTTTTAAATGACTTAATTCTTTGAAAAATTATATATATATTAATTTTATTTATTAATGTTATATTATTTATTTAATTAATTATAAATATAATTTATAGTAAATATTAAATTAAGACGGGAGTTACCATCCCACTGTAAGTAAGTAGTTAACAATAAATATAAAGGAAGGGTAGGTTATATCAGATGATACATTTGAGAGAAAGTTCCATTTCGTAGGGGAAAAAAACATATATATTAGGTTTTAAAAAGTTCACGTATTGTAACAAGGTTTTTTTTTTATCAAACTCGATAAAAGATAAATTATACAGTAGTAGTAAAATATCTGCATTTGGGAAAGAAAAAAGAGTGAATTATTATCCATAACTAAAAACGAATGAAGAGCAGCTTACAGCTTAAAAATTAGATATTATTGACGATCAACTAAACTGATTTAACTGCAGTTTTATAAGTAATAATTCTAGGAACGTTTCGAGGTTGCAACCGACAAAATAGGAATGGATTTAAATGGTATTGACATTTCGATATTTGTCCACTAGAGAGCAGCAGAGACCTTGTCATGAATTAAATATTGCCATAGCACAGCTCTGTCTTTAAAGTCAATTATGAGCACGCATTTATTTCTGAATGGAAGAGGCGTAGGAACCATCGCAGCACTGAGACCTCAGAGCACATGTACTTCCTGAGGCTAGAATCTCGGTTTGTATCGTTAAGAACCCGGGGGAACAGTTAAGGCATTCATTATGCATCTTCTCCTGAAGCATTGTTATTCTGACATGTTACACACCAGACCTCGGCACTGATCCTGTGGGGCCCCAGGAGACACTGACCGGAGATCTTAGTGCCCACGTGTTGTTAACCCCGGTGTGTGGAACAATATCTTAGTGAGGGTAAATAACCATCTAAATACAGCACATAAATAACACATGTACAGCAGTTTACAGGGAGTAAACGCCCACAGCATGTTCTGTCCTGTTCAGTGCCACCGTGAAGGTTACGCTGGTTCATACCTTCAGCACACAGACGTGCGTTTTCATTATAATCCCCTCTCATATTTATTCAACACTAAATAAATATGACACTAGACAAATGTAAATGTCAGAAATGTGAGGATGTGAAGAACGTCCTTTCATCCTCACCTTCCCATGGTCAAGGCTGTGTAACCATTCACCGCAGGTCGGTCGACTGCAGCTGAAATTAATATTCTCACAGTTCACGCCAGTCTTAACCTCATCTCCATCGTGGGCGAATTAATAAAGCAGAGAAAGAGAAACGTAGGAAACAGTGACTCCATGTTACGTCACTAATGAATCCTCATCATTTTGACCTTGATTAGCAAATCTTTATGTGATTATCTTTAAAAAAAAGTAAGTTTACAACTGTCACAGCGGAAGAGGACCACCGGAACATG